GTTATAAATTAATTTCAATAGTAATTAGACATTATACAGTATGTTTGCATTTGTAAGACCTTGATCTAAGAATTACGGCTAGGTTTATCAACTGTCATTGAAACAGATTAAAAATGAAACGCAAGGGCCAGGAGATGGCTGCATGATAAAGCAATCGGACCCACCCAGGAGAGGTTCTGGGTTGGCATCAGGGGCCTCCCTGAGCAAACAGGCATGCATGGGGTGCTCCTGCTTCAGGCCGGCTGAGGCTGGGGATGGATTTCAGTGTGAAGCCCCTGCTGGGGGTGCCTGGCTCTCTGTCTCTCTCTGTCTCATAAAAGAAATAAACTTTTAAAAAACAAACATAAATGTATATAATAATATCCCTATACTAATTCAAAACATTAATATAAAATGTTATCCATATAGTAAAATAAATACTAATGCAAAATTATCTAAAATGTAAGAAAAGAGAAAATGCTAATAATTATTGAAGGATAGGACTTTTTCCTAAAACTGTGTTGATGCCTATAATGATGGCAATAAGAATTCCATTTTATGAATGCTCATGATAAACTTGGTACTGCCCTAGGTTATGTTTAAATATCATATATTTAATATCAAAGGTAAATATCTTAAGTAACATTCAGACAGCTCTGTTGGACAGGTGTTAATGCCCCATATCTATTTCATTTAAGGACACTGGCCTAGACCAGCAGATAGTGTAATGGTAACTTTGCTGGACTCCCACTCAGGCTGGGCATGTGTATGTGCATGCCCAAAATCCAGAGAGGAAAATGGAGGAGAAGGGATTGTGGTGTGGTCACCCCTTCTAGGAGATTATTTCTCACTTTATGTCTCTCTGTCTCTTTCTGTCTTGCCAGTGAGCACACATACCCTATAACAAAAATCTTTCTAAAAAAAAAAAGAAAAAGGCAAACTAAAGACACTGACCTAGAGAGAAGGAACACCATGTCAAGTCTCTGGTTGACTCAGAGGCCGAACGGAGACCGAGTGGGCCTCTCTGACCTGTCATCTGCTCTCCCCACCTGCTCCATAGGCCACAGGCTAGCAGGGGTGACCAACACACTGAGCGAGGTGCAGTGAAGACCAGAGGACCCTGGATGCTGCTCTGCATCCGGGCACACTTACTTAGCCGTGTGGAGTGTCAGCCTTGAGGCATCCTGCAGTATCTCATCCTGACCTCATCAGCAATCTTGGCTACCAGGAAGGGAATTTGGTAGAAGTGATCCTTCAGTCATCTGGACACATGTGGTGATGCCGGAGTCACAGGATCACTGATTTCAGGGCCCCACACTTTGCAGAGGAGGGCGCACCCCAGAGAACAGTGCCTGGGGCTCACACAGGTACAAAGCGGCACCAGATCTGGGTCCTCCCTGGGTCTGCAATCGGCTCCCAGAGCTCAGCAGGGCTCCAGGTCCCCAAGGCCACACTGGGAACCCTGCAGGCAGTTTCATGGGAGAACTAACAGCTCTCAGAGAGCAAGAGTTCTTACTTATCATAACAGAACTTTTATATGGAGGTTTAAATAAAGGCTTGCTGACATATTCAAAGACAGGGACGTAGGAATTTCACAGGTGAACAGAGATCTTTGCATAAAACTTCCATTTTAAAGTGGCCGAGCAAGAAATGTTTCTCAGGTCTTTTATAATCTGTACGTACTCGAACTTGAAATCATCAATTTCTTCTTTTTTGTATAAGCTGCTGTAAAATTCAGGAAATTCAGGCTTTTATAGTTTTCTCAAATATGATCTTTGCTATGTAAATGGCATGTCATTAGCAGACTACGCGTTTTAATAAGCTGGGGCTCAGACAAGCAGCTGACTCCCAGGGACAACAATAAGGGAATGTGGGTAAGAAGGAGAACTGCAATGCCAGATCTTCCTCCAGTACCTCAATGGCAGTGCATCTTTGAAACTTACAGTGGCTCTGGGTGGGAGGCACCATCATCCCCTTCCCAGAGGAGCAGACACAATAACAGATGCCACCAGACTTGTCATCCAGCCAGATCTGGCAAGCAGATGCTCACTTCATGCTTTCAAAATCAATAAATTACTTTTCTTACAGTTATAATCTTGATGGACGACTTCCTTCAAAAACATACTATGTGACAAAACATTTACTGTGAAAACCAAATGGGTGGCTTTAGCTACATAACTATTATTTGCAATGAACTTCTTAGGAATTTAATTGATGGGATACATTTTCTTAGCAATACAAAGGAACCAAAACCATTTTCATCCTGCCTGAGTCCCCTGACTGCCACAGGCTGGCGTTCCTGCCTCAGGACAGACAGAGACTGGCGTGCACAGGAGAAGCCGCATGAGAAGGAACAGAAAGGCTGTCTTCTCCTGTAAAGACGTGCTGATTCTGCACTGGGCAGAGTCACTCCTTTCTGGAGGGAGAGTTTCAGTAGATTACGTTTCTTGGGAAAAACCAAAACAAACCACTAAAATAGCTAAATGCTGACATTAATCTTATTGGAGACACACATGACATTTTTCTGGATTGGAACTCTTGTTACATTTGTTTCATGAACCCTAACTCTGTAATTACTACAGTAATAACTCCATTGACATTTTAGAAACACTTCATTTTTAGATTTTTAGCCAAATGTATCACACACACACACACACACACACACACACATACACACAATGAAGGCTGTCAGAATCAAAATGGAGTCATTTGTGTCAACCTGTGTTAAAGCCTGACTACATGGAGCCAGGGAGGGCCGTGGAAGAGGTGATTTGTGACTCTGGCATGCCTGATAATGAGAACTGTTATTTAAAGAACTCTGCCAAAAGCACAGCCTCCCATAAAGGCCACTCCATCTGAGACAAGGACTACTTTGTGTGAAAACATTTTCCCAGAGACTGCCTCCAACCTTGAACTGATACCAATCTCGTCACAGACCCTAGTAGCCAAGGAAAATTGTCTCCAAGCAACTCGTAAAGCCCCCTCTTCCCTTTCTCCTCCTGCTGTGGTTTCTGCCTTTAAAACTGCCAGAGAATTCGAAGACCTTGGTGCACACACTCAGGCAACCTGAGTGTGCCCACATGGGCTATATGCTGGACTGCAGTCTTCAGACATGGCCTGAATAAACTCCTTTGGATTTGCATACTTCCTTTCCGTTTACCTCTGAGCTTGACACACACATTCCAGTAACTACAAAGGCATTACTGAGCTGTATTCTTTCTTTAATAATTTTTTTCTTTAGATTGTTTTTGGAGATACTTATTGAATCAATTTATAATATGAGAATGACTGGTGGGAACGTTTTTTTCATGATGTTTTGTATTATGAAGTTGTCAGAAACTAAGGTACAAAGTCATCTCAGGACTTCCCCTCTGTGGCTACCTAGCAGGGGAGAGAGCAAACCCTAGAGCTAGACACTGAGCCCACAGAGACAGGAGATGATGTGCTTCGGCAAAGAATAAAGTCATCCCATCTGAATGGCTTTCTCAGAGCAGGTGAGTGCTCATAGCTTTACTCTTCACATTTAATAAATAATTTTAGATTTCAGTATCTGAAACATCAACAAATATGCCACCCTAAGCAATTAGGTTTTTCATGACCTTCCTCAGTTCCAGCTGATCTGGAAAAAACAGTCTATCATCAGTAACAGATTCTAGTACAACTACTACAATTTCTTTGCCAGTGCCGAGGGAAAAAAAATCTAACTGCAAATCCCAGTAAGAACAGTTTCCTTTAGGTTTTTCATGACCTTCCTCAGTTCCAGCTGATCTGGAAAAAACAGTCTATCATCAGTAACAGATTCTAGTACAACTACTACAATTTCTTTGCCAGTGCCGAGGGAAAAATATCTAACTGCAAATGCCAGTAAGAATAGTTTCCTTGGGCCTGATGTGATAGCTGAGAAAGCATCTCATAACCCTCTTCTTCTCTCTGAGTTTCCCAAGACTCTCTAAGGTATGTGGTTTTGCATCTCACAGAAACAGTCCAGCAGCACAAAGGTATTGCTCAGCCTCAGGAACCAGGACTGGAAGTGCTGCAAAAACGAACCAGGAAGACCAGCAAGGAAGGACGCTGAACCAGGCATTCTCCTGTGGAGCTTCTCCACAAATCGCCCCCCATTTCTGCCCCCTCTGCAGTGCCATCCCCAGGAGGGCGAATGAGGTGAACGAACGGGCAGCAGGTGTCAGTGCTCAGTCCTTCTTACACAAGAAGAAGGAAGAGCAACAGCGGGCCTTTGGAAAGGGCTTGTACAAGTAGGATTTTATTTGACAGTTTGGGGTGTAAACAGAAATAGAACTTGCTAAGGAAAAAGAAAAACAAAACCACTAGTCGTCTTTTATCCCCTCTGAGTTGGCACCAACCTGCTCTGACACCGGCTCCATAGTTTCTCACCCCTAGATGTGTTGGGCTCATCCCCCTTGCTCATCCCACTTCACTATGGACCCGCCATGGGGATGTTATTCATTTCCCAGCCCAAATACAATGACCACAGTTAAGCAGGCTGGAGTTCTGGTCACAGCTCAGGAGTCAGAACTGAAAAACTCCGGGGGCTGTGTATTCCATGTGTGAATACTGACTTCGAGAAGTCTTCAGGGGTTCTCATGACTCTTCAAAACCTCTCATTAAACAGAGAAACTCGCAGGACTCCCAGCACCTAAAGAGTACAGAGCAGCTAATGCCTAGGCATGCATTTGTAGAACACCTAGTGTTTGCCAAGTCATTTTAATGCTTTCCAAGAATCTTCTGTTTGCTGAAGATTTAATGTGTGAGAGCACCAAAGGCCTACTGAGCATGCAGGGTGAGGAGAGCATCCCATGTCCAGGCAAGTCTCGTTTATAAAGCACTTAGCGCCTATAGAGCATAAAGGTTTTATAATGCTCCAGGTTGGAGAGGATTTAGTTTCTGCAGAATTCCTAGTGGGACCAGAGCACTCAGTGTGTGCAGAACACCGGTGTGTGCAGTGTAGATTCTGCACTCTTGGCTCTGAGTTGTGGGCTGGGCGTGAGGAGGAGGCTACTCACCACATTGCAGCCCACACAGTCAGGTCCGTTCTCGCAGGTCCTGCGGCGAGCTTGAATGCCACCCCCACACTGGGCTGTGCACCGTTCCCATGGACCCCAGCCTGTCCAGAACATGTGTGGGGGACACAGCAAGTGCTCATTGCAGTATCTGTAATGAGGACACCAAGAGGAAAAGGAAACCATTTAGTGCCTCACGAGGCCGCCACCCTCTCCGCTCCTGTCCCTGTGCCGGATGTGGACCGTGTGCGCATGCTCTGTGTGGAGGGGCTGCTGCGTTCAGGGTGCTGCACGCACGGGAGGCAGATGGCGCTGGCCATGCTGTGTACACACAGACAACGGATGCATGGGAGACAGTGAAGAAGATGCCAAACTCACAATGCAGGATGGATCTTCCTGTGCAGCCAATTAAGGAGAAATAAAACAAAACAAAACCCTTCAAATAGACACCCAAGAATAAGTAAATATAGAAAATATCTAGACAGGGCATTTATCTTCTAAACAGACACAATGGAAGATAAAGTCGCTTACAAATACAGAGTCAGCATAGCTTTATTTGGAATTCATTTCTCATTCTTGAATCAAATAAATCCATCATCTAATTCAAATAAGTTAAAGAAATGTTAAGATATGAGTGTGACATGCAGATCCGTGCTGTCTGCTGTGTAAGTTACTGACTTTAAAATGTAGTTATAGGCTCTCAGAATAATGCCAAAAAACTTAATTTGAAAGACCAGTAGTTAAAAAAAGAATTGAACTACTGTGCAATGTTACGCATGTAAGTGATGTTGCAACTATTTATTCACTTCTATACTTCTACATATATGCCTACCTTGCCAACTTTTAGTCAAATACTCGAAGCCTCATTTAATTCTATGATGAGTCACGTTTCTGTTCAAACTTTAAAACTACAGGTGAAATGGAGTGATGGGAGGGAAACAAATGGTAGACAAAAAACAAGAACGAGACAGCCTGGCATTCCGCAGGTCGCGGCTCCCAGGGAGAAGCTCCTCCGAATACGAGACAGGCCTGGTGATTGAAAGAACTACCAAAATCCCACATCTGTCTGCTAAGCCTGAATCGAGCTGCTAGAGAACACTGGAGTGCAGACGTTTTCAGGCATCTTCCTCCCTTGTCAGACCGTCTGCCTTAAGAAACAAGTGGCAACGTTTCCAATCTCCAGATCCATGTCAGTCACCTTAATGTCGTCGTTATTAATAAAGGCATAGCCCTATAGGGCACCGCACAGAGGGACTTACAGAGTGCTTCCTGCCCGAGGTGCTCACAGCTCAAGATGGACCCGGAAATGGACACAGGCTCGGGTCCATACACACCAAAGGAAACGCATTTCCAGAGAAAACAAGGGCCCATTGCCGACAGCAACCAGGAAAAGGCATCCGGTGAGTGTAGGTTGATAAGATTCAACTTTTTTTTCCCATTAAATGAGAAAAACTTCAGAGAGAAGTGAGGGTTTCAGGAACAGGTACAGCATGAAAAGCAGAAAGCAGGCCCAAGTGAAAGGAGCGAGCAGGATAGGCATACTGAGCACCTGCTGCCATTCTGGAGAAGAGTGGGAGGAAGAAATGGGCAGAGTGACAAGAGTGGGGGCTGAGAAGAGGAGCACAGAGACAAGGCAATGAGCAACAGGATGGCCTATCTTCACCAATTAGTATGAAATAACTTTGGCTTAAACAGCAGAGCTTCAGAAACAAAACGGCACCCTCAAAGCGGAAAGCACATCTCCAAGGGTTGAGGTCTCATCTTGCTGGTGGCCTGGGAGCTCCTCATGTTTCAGTAAGGCAGGTGAAGCCACCAGCAGCAAGAGGAGATGGAGCAATTGCCAACCAAAACAGTCAGGATGCAACACTCTCAGCCAGAAGTACCCAAGTAGATCGGTGCCACGGTGATAGGAAGATGGAGAGAAGGGTGTAGGTGGGCTTTGAAACAGTGCAAGAGTGATATGGCAGTTGTGTGAATGCACAGAAAGACAGACAAATACATAGCAGAGGCCACCTCAGCCTCCTCTCAAACAAAAGTGGGAAGCAGTCTTGCTTCCAGGGAAAGAAGGTCCATACACTGGGCTGAGAGCCCCGGACAGCCTAGAGCCCACCAGGCAGTCAGTTCAGTTTCTCTGAGCTTTCCTATGTAAGAGTCGCCGGTGGAACTGACTAGTTACCACTATTCTCCATCGTTTCAGATTTTAACATAACAGAGAAACATTAGGTTTTCTTCTTAAGATTGTGTCCATGGACTCCCAGCAACTGCTTCTCAGCACTCAGGGCTATGAGAGAATCTTATGTGTAGTAG